GTCACAAAGGAATCAGGAAAACTACAGCTAAAAAGCGAGGTGTAAAGTTAACATTCTTACCTCTCTCTCTCTCTCTCGACTTGGCAGAGGCAGCTCCTGTGGGCTCAACCAACGATAGTCCCGAGTGGGATCCAAAAGGAAAGCCTACAGTTAGGGCGGTTGAGGTTGAGAGGAGGGGAGATGAAGAAAGCGGAGCTCGCCGTCTGAGGATAGGACCGTGGATGGTCAGATTGCGGGAGGAGGCCGCATTGGGGGGAGGCTTATGAGAATAGCTGGTGGGAGGGGATATCGGGAGAGGATGTCGAGGATGTCAAAAGGGGGGGATTTGGGGAAGGAGGGGGGAGGAGGGAGGGGAGAGGGTAAGCGGATGGAAAGGCAGCAGCAGGATAGAGAAAGATGCGAGGGAGTTTTGGGGAAAGGGGGGGAGGGATTGATCTGAAGACGGGGCAGAGCAAGGAGGAGAGTGTTGAGAGGAACTCGAGGAGTTGCTTTCGATTTGTTTGTAAACTAACTGATGCTCCACTATTTTAGGCCAGTGAGACAATCTAAAGGCCAGGATGTAAATTGGCATAGCCTTCTTATGTGGGTCAACTCATGAGGGCAGGGAAGATCGCGATGGGTGATCAATCGTCTTCCACATCTTCCACCTCTTCCACCAGATCATGTTCCTCCCCCTTGTGCCGTTCTTTGCTCGATGAGTCCGTTCCCCTCCTCCTCCTCCTCGTCCTCCTCTCCCTCCTCCTCTTCGTGGCGTTGTGATCGATGTGGCCATGCCCCTCCCCTTCGTCTCCCTCTCCTTCCACAACGGCGTCCTGTGGTCGATACGTCCATGCCCCTTCACCTCCTCCGCCTCCTCCGCCTTAACCACCCCGTCTTGCTTCCCGATGTCATCCTTTTCATCCCCGTCCTCCAGCAGGAATGCAAACAATCTTTCTCTTCCCCCTCCTCCACCTCCTGCTCCCCGGGAATGCATGGACGTACGGATGGAGGGAGGGAGGGAGGGAAGGATGTATTGATGGATGGGATTGATAGACGGGTGGATGGGATTGATAGACGGATGGATGGGATTGATAGACGGATGGACGGAGGTATGATTGGATGATTGGGTGGATGGGTGGATGGATGGACGGATTTATGCATGAATTTTTGGATAAATCGGTGGATGGATATGGATGATGGATGGATCCGTCCATCCGCAGTTTTTTTATGCATTCGTTAGTTTGATCCACGATTTTGATGCACCGATAATCCCGCGAGCTGTTTCTTTTGTCAACTTTCTCTCTTCCGCTCTGTTTGCACCGTTAAACGGATGTGAGGATGAACAAAAAAAGAACAGATTTGAGGAAAGAAACCGAACAAACGAACACAGCCTCAGGGGTGGAAGGGTGTGGGCGAGAGGCTTCGTCGCGTTCAATGGCATGCTCATTAGAGGAGGATTGTCGGATTTGATGCGGGCTAAGATCTTTATAGTGAATAGAGCTCCCGTGTGGAGGGGTGTGGGGGAGAGGCGTAGGGGAGTTTGTGGTGCGATGTCCAAGGCGCGTTATGATCATTGTTGAAGAAGAAGAAGAAGAAGAAGAAGAAGAAGAAGAAGAAGCGAAAGTGTGAAAGAAAACGAAGGAGGATAAGAAGAAAAAGAAGAAGGAAGAGGAAGAAGAGGAAGGAGTAGGAGGAACAATCAAATAATAATAATAATAGTAATAATAATAATAATTATTATTATAAGAATAATAATAAGAATAAAGTGTGGCAGGAAGAGGAGGAGGTGAAGGAGGAGGAGGAGGAGGAGGAGGAGGAGGAAGAAGAAGAAGAAGAAGAAGAAGAAGAAGAAGAAGAAGAAGAAGAAGAAGAAGAAGCTGTGGTAATTCCACGACTTGCGGGTCGAAAAGGAACCGGACTGACACTCCCCAGAATGGAAAAGGAGCCAGGCCGCAAGGTCCTGTTTATTAAAAAAAGACAAAAACAAAAAAGAAAGAAGAAGGTGTAAGGTGGCAACAGTGGATTTAGTGCCGCACACGAAGAATGAGAATTGCGATGAGAAAGAAGTGAATCAGTTCATCAGTTGCCCCATTAGGTAAGCACAATCAATTTATCAAATCGGATCGATGGATTAACTCCCCAATGGATTGATATATTCCTCACTACAGTCTACCACTGAACACAATATCATGACTGTTATCTAGACTGGAATAGCGTTTGTATACGTTCATCGTGACGGGGCGTTATGTTTGGGGGAAGAAGGTACCTTGCTCACTTACTCCCCTGCTTGCTTGAGTGGTGGGAGGTTTGAAGGTTTGATTAATAAATAAACAGATGGTTGGGGGATGATGGCATGTGGTCTTAAACCACCAGTTCACACGAGCCTAAGTATACGAAGCTGGCTTCCAAGGCTCGCGAGCCTGCAACTGCGCCTCTTCAAAGTGGCCTACCCCTTTTGCTGCCGGCCCAGGCCCGAAGTCAAGTACTCTTACCTCGTATACACCTAGGTTCAAGTGAAGTGGTGGTTTGACTGCTGCCATCCACCATAGGGGGATACGCAACTCCCTCGATTTAAAAAGACCTCGGAGCGGATTTTGTCTGGAAAGTAGCAGATTGGCAGTAATCCCCTCCCCGCTCCTATAAGGTAGCATACGACTTTACTGCATCATTACGTGCACCATGGCACGGAGAGAGAGAGAGAGAGAGAGAGAGAGAGAGAGAGAGAGAGAGAGAGAGAGAGAGAGAGAGAGAAAGAGAGAGAGAGAGAAAGAGAAGCTTAGCTGGACTTAGCTGGTGGTATTGGCGTGTGGAGAGAGAGATAGAGCCTTGCTTCAGAGGCCCGGGATTGTCTTGTCCGGTGTCATTCTTCTTTGCGCTGGCTCGTAACAGACATTGACTTGGAGAGATTCTTTTGCAGCATTGGCGAGGTGTTATGTCTGGAGACAATGGTTTCTTCACTACCGTCTTCCCCCCAACACAACGCACTCCTCATCCTGACTCTATAGTACCGCAAAAAATTAGCTCGCTTGTATGGTACGTTCATGATCCGGGTACGTTGTTTTCGAGGGTAGGTAAGATGGTCGTAGTTGATAGGGTGGGTAGTGCTGAGGTGGTAATTAAGAGGAAGGAGAGAGCCCGGTGGTAGAAGGGGGTGGGTGAGACGAGACCAGACTTTCTACCTAATGATCCATTCTTCTTCTATCGTACTTTTTCCCCCCATCCTTTTTCTGTTGTCTATTTCGTTTGCTGTTCCCATTCGTTGAGCATTGAGAGCTTTGCGCATGATGATGATAGGGGTCACCGAATTGGGACAGAAGAATGGGGAACTCAGCAAGGCATACACATTCCATGAGCAAAAGTCAGAAATCAGCTGTGTGTCTCAGTCCGTGTTTGGCAGGTCATTACACTATGGTTAGGGTTATACTGCGATATGAGTGAGTGAGTGAGTGAGTGAGTAAGATGCACTGGTTCTCTCTTCTGGTGGTCGATATTCAGATGTTGAGAGTGCGGAGAAATTGCTCAACCTTAGTCTCTTGTGAACAATGTGAGTGTTGTCTTTTCGGAGTATCCCCCTTAGTGATGTGGGTGTTGTCTTCGTTGGGAGTATCCCCATAGTAAAGGGGGGGGGGGGGGGGGTGTTTTGGGGTATCCCC